AATGCATAGAATCTTTCTTGTAGAGAACGTCAGTACCTACAAATTTTATTTGAAGTATTTTTCGAAATTCCGCGAAAAAAAATTTTTCCGTGATTTTTCCAAGGGGTACCCCTTCAGATTTTACGAAATTGCCTACTTTTGCCAATAAATCCCAAACCGTTGGACCTATGGGAAAATTGCATAGAACCTTACTTATAGCTGACGATTAGAGCTACAACTTTTGTCTAAGACATTTTTTTCTGTCGTCTATAGTTAACGAGTAATTTGCAATAAACTGTTTTGTCGATTTTTGTCAATAACTCGCTAAATATTGATGCTAGGGAAAAATGTTTCAGATAAAAATCGTCAGCTACAAGAAAGGTCCTATGCAATTTCTTTCTAACTCCACTCGTAACTGAATAATTATCGATGAACGAACTAATTAACCATTTAATCCTTCATTACAAAAAGAATTTATATTGCAAAGCGACATTAATCTGGTTTGATTTCAAATTCCGCGTCAGAATACCGTATCTACTCATGAGGAAACGAATGGGTGTACAGCACAGTATGGTTAGTACAGCTCTGAGTTCTAAACGTGTTTGACGTGGCCTTTGACATTAGGGGAGCAAGAACAATGAGCGAACTCCTTACTGCACGCGTCTACACTTGCGTTCCCAAATACCTGAGTTAAACCGAATGCAATTTCAACATTCACCGAAATTGCGAATTGTAGTCGCGGTCAAGTTATCGGTAAATCATGCTTGAAGCTCGAACAAGACTTCCTCGGTTTCAGGGTTCGTTAACGCTAATTATGCTCGGACATAATAACAATATGTAATTAGTTGTCCACCGAATGTTCATGTACTCCCATTGAATACCAAATGTAATTAAGTATTCACCTAAAATTACATTATCTATTCAGGGTGTCCCAAAATTAGTGTAAGATATTGGAGGTTCCTGACGTAATTTTAAACAACATTTTCCGTAGCGAAAAAATTGTCCGAGGCGTGGTTGAAGAGTTATTAATAAAAGTGACCAATGAGAGTGCTTGGTTGACGCGATCTCCGAATCGGGAGCGTTGGCTCGAATCCGGACGCCTGGCTAATCAACAATCTATCATTTCCCCATCCATTCCATTTGAATAACGATTAAATTTTTCATTTAGTTTCATGAATTATATACATCCTTCATGTGCTTTATTATTTATTCGTATATTATCATTTAATTATTCTAGAGATGCATAAAATCTGTACTTAACACGTTGGAGATTAAAATTTATATTACTTGCCATTAGTAAAGTCAAAGTGGTCGAATATAGTAGTTAAATAAAATAGTGTGCATAAGTTGCACATAAGTTATTTTTTAAGCACAGTTAATTTAAGTTAGTAGTGGAAATGAGAATCATTTCAGTAGTACAAGTCAATAATAACTGAAACAAGTTGTAAATCTTTTCAATATGTAATTGCAGTATTTTCATATTATTTTTACGTAATGTATGATTAATAGACTGTACGTTTTAATAAATATTTGTGGCATTAGTTTAAAAAATATATTTCAGGTAAATATTCATTTTAACTTAACTTATACTTAACTCATTAAATACTAGAATTAGAAGAAAAATCCATAGAATCTTTCTTGTA